GCCGTGGCGACCGTGGCGGTGAGAACTGGCCGTCGACTGGACATGATAAACGCTGGATCGCATCTGTGTCGTGCTTGAATGTGGGACCGGTAGGGTATCGTAGCAGCAGGGAGATTTGGCGGACTTTTTAGGGCAGGGGCGAAGAGATGCCAGAGGTCTTTCGAGCGCACGAATGCTTAGTTCGTCCCTATTTCTTGCGTTTGGGGAAGCCTTGGAAAGCTGTTGGTCTGTATCCTCACATTTCTCCATGTTCAGGAGTGCCCGAGGTGCGAAGCCAGTCATTTACCAAGAGTCCTGGTAATTCTGCTGCTGGAACAGCTGATCACAAGATCTTTCGCATGGTTTCCATGGGGACAGCGGCTGCATGCTTGGTTGACTGGTAACCCAATGCGGGCTGCACCGGGACACTTGGCGACCATCAGGCCGAAAGCGCGTGCACCCGCTCTCCAAAATGGCGCGCCCCACTGCCTGGGGTCGGATGAAAACGAATCAAAAACGCATCAGCTCGGTGCGATGTTGGTGAGTCGTGTTATTGCCCCGCGCCGGCGACCGGCAGCTGGCCCATTGTTAGGGGCGCGAAACGGATGGCTGACGAGAGAGATACACACGGATTACCACTGGCTTTTCTGTGTAACTGGTGGTCGCGGGTGGGCAAAAATAACGTCACACTGCTTTGGCGTGCGTGTGGCGCGTGTGTTGTAAAATTCGGGGCCATTGACAGCAGACGGAGGTGAGGCAGTGGCGGACCGGAGGGAGAGGGGGCTTCCCAGGATGGTAAACATAGCGCAGTGGCGCGCTGACGGCTCGCCACCCGCCGTCACCAGCTCCCCTCCCCCCTGCCCGTCCCCTGCTGACGTCACAGCGGCTGTCCGCATTGGACGTTCACTGGCAGTACACCCGCCTCTGGGGCGGCTTCATGGGGCTGGCGACCCAGATTTTCCTCCGGTTAAGGGTCGTATGACCGTTGGAAGTGCGTGCTGGTCCGAAGGCGGCTGGGACCCAGCCCCCTCCTCCTCTGCGGACATCGACCTTTGTCAGTCGCACCAAAAAGCCGAGCACTGTCGGCTTCAATGGGATCGGGATTATTTTACGCAAAAACGAGCAAAGGCCTGCTGGTAGACAATGCGCGTCCCCGCAGTGTTGGCACGGCTGCTGCGTGCCCCGGGCTGGCCCGCGCGACTCTGGCGAGTGTCGGACCACCTGGCCCAGGGAGGGGCCGGGCCCGTTCCTGCTGCCCGCTGGGTCGGCCCGCGCGCGGGATGAAACGGCGGGACATGAGGCGCCTCCCTGTCGTCGCTTCAGCGGTGGCGCTGAATCGGACGAGACGCTCGCCACCTGGTGGCTAACGTTTCGTTGTTTGACACCGTATCTGCAATTGGCGTGGCTAGCTGGGCGATGAGCTCAATGCTTTGTTCTTGACGTAAAGAACGACAAGCCGCTACGTGCATGGCTTATCCACTAATTTGGAGACCCGAGGAGGATTGTTCGTTTCAACCGATGTGAACTAAACTATTTTGAAAAACAACAGTAAAAAAACCGCACGCTTTTGGATCCACCTGACACGTTCACTGAAAGGTGCAACCTGTGTGTATCCACCTCCTTTTCATTGTCATATCACTAGTTGTCACTCTCATGGTTGCTGGTCAGTTTTGCCGTATCATGCCGTGCTGCCATTTTCAGGATTAGTCAATCTACTTAGCCCTCACCGGGCTGCCATATTATTTGATGCGGCTCGTCGTGCGCGCTGGCCACACGTCTGTTTCGCGCCACCGGTGCATGAGTTGCGCCAGGCCGGTGGTAACTGCCTGTCTATGTCCGGTGCGTGTCCGGCTTTCAGTGGTTCCCTGCGCACGACCACAGGGGATGTGCACGCGGCCTTCGAGCAGCAGCCCCGTTCGCGCTTAATCGCTTCACGACTGGCCGGCGCGCGCCTGCGTTCAGGGCCCGCCAGTTTCGCCCGGTCACGACCGCCTACCGGTCCCTGGTGCTGCCGTGACCTATGCCCTGGTCGGACCCGGCCCCGCTGGACGATCAGCGGGCTGCCGGAGCCGGAGGCTGTCTCGATTTACGCCGTCTGGTCACTGACGCTGACGGTTTTCGATGTGGTCCAGAGGGTGGGGTTTTTGGGCAGGTTGTGGTCCTGCGTTCCGGCGTCCAGATTTAGCCGGCAAGTTTGGTGATTGCATTGGGAGAAAAGCTGACCTATTCTCCACTTAACTGCTGGGATTATTTTGGTCTCGTACACTTATCATACGTTAGGCCTTTTCGTTCATCAATCTGTCAAAAGACCATGTTTTCGTTGGTTTTAGTTACATTCTAAATTCCTCCCGCAGGGAATGGAATAACAAACTGAAGTTGGTATCAGTAGCTGGCCGGCTTCCTCATCAACGACACATGAGTCATGTTATTCATTGTACGGAATGTTTTTTAAACTGGCTTATCAAAGGCTTGTTAACACGTGACACTCAAATCTATTAAAATAATGTCACGCTTGAGCGGCCGGAGCTAGCAGAAAAATTTCATGACTGAAATGAGCATTCCATGCGGGACGATTCATACGAAGCGAATGAGCCAGCAGTATGAGAAAACAAACACAGCCCAGTAGGTCAAACCAAACCTGCATGGTTGGACTTGCTGTTTGCTAGCTGATTTGGGGGCTACGGGAATTCGGGCATCTTCTTTCTTTTCTGGGCAGCTGTTAAGGAAGACGAAAAGCTATTAAATCCGGCTTGCAGAAGATGCGCTAATTAGACCGAGCAACGCGCTTCTTATTTTCTCCTCGCCAAAGTGACTTCCTTCATCTTATTCATTTCTCCCAGCAGCGGCCGGCTGCGACTCTCTCTGCCGCTGCTGCGGCCATCCCACCATAACGGCGCCAATGGGGCGTCGAGTCCGACGGTGACAGGTGACCAACGTCGCCGCCGACGCCCCGCCTGCCGGCTCCGCGCCGACCGCTCGCCTCGCGGCCGGCTATTTTTGTGGGACGGCCGCGACTGCCGGCAAATGGCCAACGGCGGCGGCCGATGATTTGTGCTGATGTCCGAGATCAAAGACGCCCGGGCCATCCGTCTGCGCGGCAAGCGCGGGTCATCTGGCGGCCGTCTGCGTGACACGCTCCGTCGCGCCGCTGGCAGGAGCCGGCTCCGCGAAGCGTCGCTGCAGGAGTCGGCTCCGGGAGATTCTGCCGTGCGGGTGGCTGATGGCGGAGGGAAAGGGACGTTGCTCTAGCTGCTCCACAGCGAGGCCCGCCTACAGACCCGTGCGAAAGTCACTCGAAACTCCGGACCCGACGCCGCCCACGCGGGTGGAGAACACGACCCCGCACCGGGTCCGTGGGAGGCGGCTCCGGGGCCGCCGGAGCCGGGGAGCGGCCTCAAGCCACTCGGCTCGTGTGCGGAGCGTGGCCCGGGGCGCGACGCGCGGACCGCATGCGCTACATCGATTCGCCTCGCGCCGGCCGGTCGCGCGCCGCGTGCCCCGGCAGGCCCGGCGGACGTGTCGCCCGTATCGACACAGCGGCACGCGATGCCTGCGCGCCCCCGATCGCCGCGATGGGACGCAATTAGGCGCCGGTCCACCGGCGGCCGGGGTCCGCGCGGGCGGCCGACGTGGCGCGCTTCTCTGCGCTGCGGCGGTCGCGGCACATCCCGGCACGCGTCGTTTGTGCCGCCGACGCGCTCGCCTCGTGGCGGCGCCGGCACCGCGCTCTGACCCGCGCGTTGACAGTTGTGATGCCGCTGGCTGACCCGCGAGCCGCCAGCACCCGGCGTTATTCGGTATTCTGACCCGGCAGCAGCGGCGGCGCGTCATTTCGGTCCGCCTGCATTCGTGGCGCATTATTATGGGCCGGCGGCGGTCCCGGCGCGCCGGGCTCGAGCAGAGGCGGTGGTCACGTGGCGGAGATATCGTGTGTCGTGCCGGCTAGGTGGAGAACAGGCCCACGTCTCATTGATCCGCTGGTAAAGATCGCGCCTTCGGTGGACGCCAGCGGCAGGGCGGCCGGCCTGGCGCGGGCGTCGGCCGTATCACTCCGGCGCGGAGAGCGTGATCGGGGCTGATCTGATGCTTTCGGTTAATTAACGTCACTCCGTCCCGATGATGGAGCCGTGACGCCCAGCTCCGCCGGCGGCGGCAGATGGGATGCGCCACTTTGGCCGCCGGCGGCGGTTGTGGCGCGCGCGCGCCGCGCCGGCCGGACCGGCAGGAAGTCAGCGGGTCCGCTATTGATGTTACTGCGGTCGGCTGGCGTGACGGCCTGAATCAAGATTTTATTTCTAGATTAAGATGTAAATTAGTTTTTGTGTTTAATCACGGGGTGGCGCGGGAGATGGCGAGGGAGCTGTCCACCGCGTCGAGCTCGTTGTCAGACATTATTAGGGCTTATGTAATCGTGCATGAATTAGTGTCAGTGCACCAGTTAGCAGAACGTCAAACAGGCTTCAGACGTCACCCGCGATGATGTGACCGCCCATCACAACGGTTGTCGACCTGCTGGCATCACTGGTGCTCCGGGCAGTGTTCTCGAGGAAGTCCTTGTAAAATCGTTCAGCGATTGATTTAAGTCAGTGCGACGGTGATTTGAGTGTCGATAAAGGTCCCTCGCTTCTTAACTAGTGATCATCTTGGCTTCAGACACTGCTGGCAATCGGTCGTGAGTCTGTGTTACTCTTATTCGCTACACACTGCGGCTGCTTTGTGCAGGAACCGTATTATGAACAGCACATGCCGCAGCATCCGTGCGCTCCCAAGTCGGGATGTCCCTCTGTGAACAAGCGCTTGTACTGCCCCTCCAGCGCAGTACAAGCAGCCGGGCGACCAGGCCACCCCAGCCGCCGACTGTTGCAATGCGCGGGATCGGCACAGCCGGCCGGGGAACGCGCGGCCAAATTGACCCAGTTGGTGTGGGAGAGGTCAGGGGTGGTGGCCGCGTCGGGCCGCGCCGTCCGGCCACCACCGACCCGCAGCCTTCACCCGGCCTCACCGGCGCCTCTCTCCGGCAGACGCCGACCCGGTGGGCGACGCGATGACCTGCCGCATCTGTCAGCGCGACTTCGACCTGGCGGACGTGATCCGGTTCATCCACCAGCGGGTGCTGCAGTGCGCGCCGCCGCCGCCCGCCACCGGCGATCAGGGCGGCCGCGACACGCCGCCGGGGGCCCGGCCCGACCGCGACGGACCAGGCCTTAACGGCCGCCGGCGGCCTAGCGGCAATGCTCCCCGCCGAATAGCGACATCTATCGGCGACCGTGAGAAGCTACATTTGAACGGGCTCTCGCCGACGCCGTCGGTGTCGAGCACGTCCTCAGACGGCAGGAGAGAGGACGGCGACCGGCCGAAGCGGACGGAGGAGGAGGAGGCGAAGATCAAGTGCCGCCTGGTGGATGCCTGTGCCAACACTACCGAATCCGGTAAGCACCGCCAATGACATTGTTTTCAGCATGCGTGTTGTGAACGCCGTGGATCTTGAGCAACATATTGGCGAAGAATCTCGGGATGTAGTTTTTCAATCAGACGAGACGGACCCAGCGCCACCACAGTTTTGAGATGGATCTAGCACGACTTTTGCCCAGTGCGGATGAGCGGACGCGGAGTGGGCGATTGAGAAGTAGCACCACCCGACCTGACCCTGACCTGACCCGCCACCTGTGCGCCACCTGACACCTGACACGGCCAGCAGCCTCACAGTCCGCTGAGGCGAAATTGGCGCGCGGCGCCGGCGCAGCGCCGAGCGCAGACACGTGTGAACTTCTGCTGCCGTGGCCGGTGATGGATGGCGCATCAACGGGCGGAACGCAGGCAATTTTACACTTCAAACGCATTGTCCACCCGCCCAATGACCGTGTCGGGCCACGTCACAGCGCGACCGCGGCGTAAACGGATAAATCCACGGCGCCAGCCCGCGGAGAGAGCGGCGGCGCTGAACCGAGTCAGGCGAGGAACCGCACCAAAAAGAGCCGTGAAGGGAGAGCGAGTGATCAGTACATGACCAGAAAATATCATTGGGTGTTATCAGCTATGAGGCGGCTCGGGCAGTAAAGGTGTTCTTCCGACGCTGTCATGCCTCTGCTGGGGTCGTCATATTTGATGAGGCAACGGATATCGTTGCCTCCCACCAGCAACCCGGAGTCCACCATTCACCATCATCCACCAGTCCACCAGGTCACCACATCTGACATGTCAGAGGACTTCGCCCCCGCCCCTCGGCCGTCCTGACTCCGCCACTGAGCGTCCCATCAGCCGGTGGTCAGCGGTCATCGGCGCCCCCTCGCCGGTCGTCCTGACTCCGCCACTGAGCGTCCCATCCGCCGGTGGTCAGTGGATATTGGCGCTCTAATGGCGCCGGTTCCGGCGCCAGTCCACGCGTCGGAAGTGACCGGGCCCGACTTCACACTCGCCTAATGGCCTGATTTCCGGCCGAGCTCGACGCGTCATCGCCGCCGGCCTATCGCACTGTGACCTGGTTCCACGACCAAGTGCGTGGCGGCCGCCGGCATCAGTCGGCGCGCGGCGCTCAGCCACACGAAGCCGCCAGTGCCCCCCCCCCTCTCTCTCTCTCTCCTCCTCTCTCTCTCTCTCTCCCTCTCTCTCTCTCTCTCTATCTCTCTCTCTCTCTCTCTCTCTCTTCTCTCTCTCTCTCTCTCTCTCTCTCTCTCTCTCTCTCTCTCTCTCTCTCTCTCCTCTCCCTCTTCCTCCCCTATGTGTCTCCAGTAAGTAAGACCGATAAAGTTCCATGGAGTTATCCGCTGCTCCTCTGGTAACGGTGGCATGGTCCGATCGACCTACCCGCGGTAGTTCCGGCCGTCGCGTGCACGTCACAGCGCCCGCAGTGATGTCGCGTGCGCGCCGCCGCCGCAATCACACCATTTGCCCTCAGCCCCGCCAGCATGACAACCGCGTGCCCTGCACCCTCCCAGTGCCGCACTCAGGTGCGTCCTGCACCCCTTCCACCGCCATACCCACGTGCGGCGTCAGCCTGAGGTCAACCGGTGGGTTACGCCGTAGCCCCGGCCTCCGTAAGAAGCCAGCTCACGCTGGCCGAGCGGCATGACAGTGTCGCAGGGCCACTGGGGCGGCTGGGGCACCCGGACCACCGGACCGCTGGGACCGCTGGGACCGCCGGGCTGCTGGGGCGGCTGGGGCGCCCGGACCACCGGACCGCTAGGGCCGCTGGGACCGCCGGGCTGCTGGGGCGGCTGGGGCGCCCGGACCACGAGACCGCCGGGACCGCTGGGACCACTGGGCTGCTGGACCGCGAAGGCCGTTGCAGATGCCGAGGCTGATGCGACCACTGGGAACGCTGGGGACGCCTGACCTGTCTGACCCGGCCTGCGGCGCCGGCAACTCTGGCCCGCCCCCCCCCCCCCCGGACGCGCCGGCGGACGTGGAACAGGCGCCGCGCTGGTGGGTCCGGCGGCCCCACCCGCTGGCCGCGGGGCTGGACGCGTGGATGGGAGGAACCAAGGTCTCGACGTTTTACCAAACAGCTGGATATCGATTTAGTTTGTGATTGATGACCTGCGCTGACCCTGTGTGACCATCAGGGCCGACTGGGCAGGGTCAGTCATTCATCATTAACTGATTCCATTTTAATGATTCCTATGAACGTACGACCACTATCTCCCAGGTACGGCACGCTTATGGAAATGTGGTCGTGACGGTGGGAGAAATGTGCTGCCCCACACCCGGAGACCTGAGGTAATTCATTAGATACTCGCGCCAACGTCTCTTGCCCTGTCGAAGGTCGGATTGTGAAAAACCCTGAATATGCACGGCTCTGGCGGTGGTGGGTGTGCCATTTTTGTCAGAACTGTGTTCAGAGCAAGTCAAATTTTTCGACGCTGTTCCTCGTGCTGTCCCTGCTCCCTGGCCCTGTCAAATCAAAGTCCTTTAAACAAAGTGTCTCCTTTGATAAAATGTGCATACATGGTGTGGCGAAAATTTGTGGTGTGGTGGAGTAAACGTGAATAATCTAGTTTGGCAGTCATGCTATTACTTATTACGTAACTACGGTAAATAAAATACCAACTACTCCGACTTTGCACAGATGTTGCTCGAAGCAATGTAATATTTTAAATGCCACCGGTTCTCTTGCCGTGTCAAATCTTGCCGAAGCAGCCGCCTGAAAGGCTTGAGATATGCTGTGCCGGCGTGCCCGAGAGGCTCAGCGGCTTGGTTGCTGATTCCGCCAACAGGTGGCATTAGCGGCTGGCTGAGACATCCGGAAACAGTTGGGCCTGTTTAATGAAACCACCATTAGGTCACCATCGCGGACTACTTGTTGGTGCAAGGCGCGGCGGCGTCCACTTGGTCTGGCACGGCTGAACTTCCTGAACTCTCACATATGCATCCATTCGCAAGCACCAAGGCACTAGAGATACTGTTACACCCAACAGTTGTGTGCACCATGCGGCATGCTATCCTTATCCAGCACTTAATCTTCAACCATCGGGACATCCCGTCTCACTGGGCATGTCGCGGCCGTCATCCATTAGCTTGCCCAGGCCCGAACGCTGGCACAAACCCCGAAGCAGGGTCTCTATGCCGGGTGGTATAGCGGAGGCATTTCGCGACGGCCATGGTATTTCCCCGCTGGTTATCTCTTCCTCGTCCCGTAGCCCTGACATTGTCGTTATTGGATGAAAGGGATATAGTCGAGACCACGCCAAACCAAACCATATTCAGAAAAGTGACAATCAGGACCGCCGGCCGCCTTACGAACATACTAGTCGAAGTGATTAGAGTGTCGAAAGGATCGGAGATCGAAGTCATACAGAGTGATCTAACCTCGAACAATTTTCATATCACTTGAAGAGTATTTTGCTCTGGCATTGTCCGTTCGTTTCCACCCAATGACATCTGCTCCCTGTCATGCGTTCTTCGCCGACTTGAAACAAGGTATTGGCCTACCAATCCTTTTGTATTGTTAACCCTCCCTGAAATTCTTGTCGGATCTTTAAATATCTGACCATGACCTATGAAGCTTCCAAATCCAGCCTTTGAAGTTTTGACGGTACAATTAAGCTAATCACCCGCTACCCTTCCTTGTGGATCTTTGTTCCCGGTAATCGTTAGCTTTCATAATTATCATAGCGCTACCCTTTTTGTGTAGCTGGCTGGTTAGATCTGCAGATCATTTATAACTGCCTGATGATGGAGTGGTGCTCTGAGATAGGGCCTCGAAAACCGCCTCGTTTTTCGTGGCGGCGAGGGGCCACCAGCTCATGCTCTCATTTGCACCGTTGGATGGCGAGGCTCTGACTTCAGCCTCGTGTTCATAGCGAATTTTAGACAGGATGATGTCATAACAATGGCTTAGGACTTGCACGTAATAACATTGGCTTCCTCCCCTCCCTCCCCCCCCCTCCCAAGTTTTCGCCACTGTTATTGCCATCCGTTGCGAGCTGAAAAGGGTGATGCACGCCCTATTTGTATAAATCACATCCAAATGCGCGCCCCGGCACAGCTTGTTCGGCGATCATCGTCAGCACGTGTGCGCTAGAGCAGCGCCGCATCACAACCGTCCTCGCCCGGTTGCGCCTCTCTCCGCTCGCCGCCGCTCAAGAGGCACCCCTCTCTTCGTTCGCCGCTCCAGAGGCGCCCTTCGCTGCAATCCTTTTCGAATGCAATATGCCGTCCGCTGCGGCCAGCGAGCCGGCACCGTGGCGGCCTCCGACGCGCACCACACTTGTCAATTTGCATGATAGCGCTGTTAGCGGCCGCCGCCCGTCCGCCGGCCGCCGCCGCCGCCCATCCCGTCCACCTGGGACGGCCAATGCAAATGGCATCGTTTGCGACACTTGTGCGGCGCCGGGCGGCCGCGGCCGCGGCAGCGGCGGCCAACCCTTCTGGCGCCACTTGTGGCCGACGCTGCGGGGACGGGCAGGGGGGGGGGGGCGAGTGGCAGACGGCGCCGAAACGGGGAAACGGAGCACGGGGCGAGTAAGATAGAAGCGCTTTCTGGCTGTTCACGGTTGGGAGTAAACAGTAGTGATAATGTCCGCTGGTGATCCTATTCTATGGTTTGATGGCATGCGATTGCCCATTTATCTTCCACGGTGCGTTATGGTCCTCACACCTTTTTCGAGTTTCCCATCCGATCTTTCGCTCTGGCCAGGATCTCCATATTCCGACACTCTGCAAGCGATGGCACGGCGTCTGCTGTACCTAGTTAGTGGTTTTCTGTCCCTAATTCCGGCTAGTTCACGGTCCGGCGTGTCTTATTCCCATCAGCTGTGAGCAGCGGAAACGGAGGGTCGTGTTATCCACATGCTCCGGCGCCTCGTGACTGTGCATTGGTGTCATAGGGCAGTGTGCCGGTTTACCGAGGCTGTGGACCACGGTCCAGGAACAATGCATCACTCATCGTGTGCATCGCGCATCAGCATCCCGCGCCGATAGCGTCAGTGTCCCGCGCCGGTTGCATCAGTATCCCGGGCGGGTGTATCAGTATCCCGGCGGGTGTATCAGTGCCCCTAGCGGGTCCATCAGTATCCCAGGCGGGTGCATCAGTATCCTGGGCGGGT